CTACATATGAGCCGAACGACCTAGATTCAATCTGGGCCGATCCAATGATCACGATTGTATTTCATATTTTAATTTTAATTTTTTTATATAATTCAAATCACTTGAAATTTTGGGCGTGTGTTATTTAAAAGTAAGAGAATCCAATAAAAATGTCAAAAAACTATTTCGTGAGAATAAATTAACCAAAATGCCTTTGACATTTTTCAACGTATTTTGGTTAATTTATCTCATACGAATTATTTTTTTTAATATTTTTATTAGGTGCAACTTGATGAGAAGAATAGATGTCTAAATTTTCACATGATTTGGATTTGTTGAAAAATAAATAAAATTAAAATACGAAATGAGGTTGTGCCTGTCAGATCGGCTCAGATTGAATATGGGTTGTTGGGCTCATATGTAGTTGTAGGCCCATTGGCCTACGCTAGCATTATATATATATATATATAAATATATATATCATAGTATAATGCAACGATACTACTAGAAAACCATGTTTGTGGTATTTGTATGATCCCAAATTTTGCACACACACTCTCTTCATCTCAATAATCAATCTACCAAAAAAAAAAAAGTTCAATTTGAACCTTAGATATAGTCAAAATGAGTCCCTTCCAAAAATGAATCTAGACCATTCATTTTGTGAATTTCAAGATCTTAGCCTTTATAAATTCAAAATCACTTTTTTCTTTTTTAACATTTTTCATAGATAATAATACCATCCAATAAATTGGAAATGAAAAAATCCTTCTGAGCCCTAGATCTAAGCATCTCACCAAAATGAACGGTCTATGTTAATTGGGCTAAAAAAATACTTTCTAGGTTGTGTTTTCAATTTTTAATTTTTTTGTGATTGTTCATTAGAATGAAAAGAGTGTATGTTTCAAAATTTGGATCAAAAAAATGGCCATAAGATGGTTTTTTTAATGTTGAGGTATCATATTAACATACAACGGTTGCTTGAAATCATTGCCCCTATATATATATATATATATATAATTTTACCATACATTGTATTAGTATTGAATTTCGAAATTACCATTCTAAAATTTTTGTCAACAAAAATGTACTTACAAATGTAAAAGTCATATTAACAATACCCTTATTAAAATACATCTAACTATTTATAGCCAAAAATCATTTTTTGAACATATAAGAACATTTTAATGGTAAAAAATATTAAGGTAGCAAATTCTAAATTCATCATTGTTATAGAATAGAAAGTGCATACCATAAGAGTATTTCCTTTTGGCGTGAAGATGTTACCATCACTCCTAACCAATGGATGTGAAATCTAACGAAATCTAACATATTGAAGTTTGACACTGCATTCAAGAAATTTTAAACTGTGTCTAATCAATGACACGTTTTCAACTATTTAATTTCACATCTAATGATCAATGACACTCTCTTGTCACTCTTCGCTTACAAATAGGAAGGCTGAGAGGGGATTCGGGGGCATTAAAGATAGGATTCAAGGTATATTATTATTATTATTATTATTATTCACAACCGCCTTTTGTTAACAACGGGTTGCTAGTATTACTTGTATCATAATTCACAATATGAGACAAGCATCATCATCAATTTCTCAAACTTTGGTTTTAACCAATGTTTGTAGAATCGCCAAGCCAACTCAAAATCATCTGAGTTGGCTCGGGAGCAATGGGGAACTAAAGCAAGTCCTCGAAAAAGAAAGAATTGCCTTTTTAGAAAAAAAAAATTTAAAGAAATGGTGGATCCCAATACAAAGAAGCCTTTTGAAATCGAATTTGTTTTTTTTTTTTAATCGGTTTTTTGGAAATATTTGGGGGGAAAAAAGATCAAACCTGCCTTTTGTGGATCGCCTTTTTGAATGGATCTGAAACCAGCCATTTTCAGCAGAATTTTTGGATGGATTGATTGAATGAGTGCAGGAAATCAAATCAGGTGAATGCAATCGATTGAAACAGATTCATCTAACGGCGAATTTAGAAAATAGATTTAATAATCAATTAAAATTTGCACGTAAAATAGGAAATAGATTTAATCAGAAATAAAATTGAAAATGACTGTAAATCTGATTTAAAATGAATATAAAAATCAGATTTAAAAGATTTTGAATCCGATTTTTATAAAATGTGATTCCAATGTCCTCATAAAATGGGAAATAGATTTAATCAGAAATAAAATTGAAAATGACTGTAAATAAAATGAATATAAAAATCAGATTTAAAAGATTTTGAATCCGATTTTAATATAATGTGATTCAAACAAATTTAGTCATTTTTTAATATTCATTTGAAAGTTTAGATTTAGGGACGATTTGAGCTTTTTTTTCTTGTTTGCAAATTTATTTATCTTATCAATCTTGAAAATTAAATCTGATCTAATTTGGATATTTAATACGTTTCTGTCTGTTTGCATATTCAGGTAGATTCATTCAGATTTCAACCAAATTTAATTTGTTTAGATTTTAAATATATTTAAATTTTGTTTCAATCACACTGAAAAGCGATTCAATCTAGTAAAATTCCACATTCAAATTTTTTCTTTCTTGTTTTAGTTTCTAAGGAGTTTTTGAAAGAAAAAAAAAAGGATATTTAAAAAAATTTATCCTTTTTCACCCGAGTGGGCCGTGCCGGAGCCCGCTGGATATCGATTCGAAACCCCAAGCCACTTTTTTTTTAAAACGTTGGTTTTAATTTAAAAGGCCATAACGTGATTATGGCCCTGCTTTGCGTAGGGTCCCGAAAGTCTTAACCTTTTGAGATTTTTGTTTGTACAAAGTGGCTGCTCTCAAAGGCAAAGCGTGCTTTCACGCCGACAGCAAGCCTTTTCCCATTACACCAACCAAGCAATTGACCCTTCAATTAAAACCTAGCAATTATTTTAATTTAATGGAGATTATTATATTTTTCAGAGAGAAAAAGAGCCAAAGGATATGGGGCAAACCTTACGTCATCTTTTTCAAGGCGGTGCTACATTTTCATATTCACTTTTAAATTTCATCATTGAAGATGACCAGATTCATGCATGAGCTGGCAACTTGTCCCCCCAGGCCGCAGCCCATCCTTGACCCCAAAAAGGCCACGCCATATAGGCCCAACGCCGGGCCGGATAGAATAATAATAATAATAGAGATTTGAATTGGCCTGGTCCTATTATGGCCCAGTCCGAAGTCCATCCCTCGAGCGGCCCCAGCCTTAAATTTTTAGTTTTTGGCCACCCCGCGCATTGCCGATCTCTGTCCGGACAGCCCATCATTATATTCACTTTCGATTCTTGTTTCCCAATTTAAATGTTGGGATTTTTCTTAACCTTTTAATCACATTATTGGAAATTGGATGAAATGAAATAAATGTTGGGCATATTTAAAAAGAAAAAGTTTATAAGGATGCTACCGTATAATGTAGAACTACGGATGCTTCTAAAAAATCCATCGAAAAAGGTAGTTTTAATGTTGAAAAACCCTTTGATTGATCATCTTGACATCGAGATATATGACTATGAAACATAAAAAGATTTTAAGTCTCAAAATTTCATGGAAAACAAAGGCCCGTAATTGGTAATTATATAAAATTTAATCTCCCCAAAAATAAAATCACAAATATAAATATAAATTATATAATGCAATGTTTAAGAAAACGGGTTGTTGACCCAAATTGTTCATCCGAAAAACTTTTCTGGATTAGCAGACTGACTCACCAATCAAGCCCATTAAAAAACAGAAGAGAGAGAACAAACTAAAAAATTCAAAAAAAAAAAAAAATAAGGTGGGGCCTAATCGGCCAGTTCCCAATATATGATGAGAATAGAACCAGTCTCACCAATCCGGATCAGACAATCCTGATCTAAATCGGCATTTTTTTTAAACCCTGCCATGATGAACGTTATGTGGTGTCCTAGAACCCTGGATATGTTGCATCGAACTTAAAGCATGAAATTCATAAGTTTCCCAAGGTTGCTAATGAGTGGGCTTTGGCAGACGGCTCAAAATTGTCCGGCAAAGTTGGTTTTTGATGGGACGGATGCAGATCAAGATCAAATAGATTTAGTATTTTTTATTCTTTTCAAATATTTGAGGACTTAATTTTTTTATCTATTTATGAATTTTTTTTTAGTTTTAATTTATTATGATCAATTTTTAGAAATAGAATTAATAAAGATTTGTTTTTTTTTAGTTTGATAAAGTTCATATTTTAAGACGTGCATTTTTTTTTTTTGGAAAATTAAGTCCGTTTTCTTTTTGGTGTGAATGAGTTATTATATTTTGTTAAATAGTGAAGGCCATTCTTACTCTTGGATATGAAACATGGAGTACGTTTATCTTTTCGGAAAGATTGGGTCTCGGTATTTATCAAAAAAAAAAAAATGGATCTTGGTTGGATAAGTAAAAGAAGTTCTTTTTTCAGAAAGATAAAGATAGGAGGTAGAAAAAACAGAAACACAATAACAAAAGGGGGGGACGTCCCATTGTAATGATGATTTTTTGTAGTGAATGAAAAAGATAAACGTTATTAGAGAGAGAGAGAGCACGGGACTGGCATGATGCCAACCTGCAAGACTTCAGGCCCAAAATTGAACATAGCCCAATTGCCGGCCCGAGGCGTTTGCAACACGATATTTCTTTCTCCAAGTTTGTCAGAGGATGCCCAAAAGAATAAAATGATCATTGACTTGGATCACCCATTTGGAAAACTGGTCCACATCAACTTGGGCCAAGTGAAATAAAAAGAGGAAAAAAATTATATAGAGCCGAGGCTCTAAACAATCAAATTAGAGCAAACCTCAAAAATTTCACTAGAAGAGGTTGTTTTGATGCTCAAATATCATCAAATTGATCATCTTGACATCAAGATGCATGGACATGAGAAAAAAAAATAGATTTTAAATTTTGGAAATAGTGCATCTTGTAATGTATTTTTGGACTGTCAATTTTCAAGATTTTGAATTTTTCATAGATTTACTCGATCTACACTATTTTTTAAGTTTTAAATTTTAAAATTATAAATAAATATATATTTTACTGCTATTACAAACAATTTGAGTATTGAAACTACATTTTTTAATACTATTTGAAGATGCATTTTATTTTAATTGTTTAGAGCCTCAGTTTTATACAAACCAAACCCTTAACAAAAAGAAAAACGAAAAAAAATTAAAAATTACTAAAACATAAAAGTGGGGCCGATTCAGTAAGAGAACGCCGGTCCCTATGGTGCGATTATATGTCAAAAGAACGTGTGGGTGGGGAATAGGTTTGTCGGAGAAATTAATGCCTAAGGAATACAAGAAATAAAAGAAAAGAGAATACCATAATAGTAATGTTTGAGAGGAAGGAATATATAACGCGCCCAGTTTCTATGCGGCCAAGCCCGCATATATAGAAATGGAGGCTATTGATAAAATCTATTTTTGAGATGGATTTTTGGACTAAAGTTTTAAGGACATGTAATCTCTAACACGGAGATTATGAATATGAAAAAATAAGTAAATTTTTAAAACTAAAAATAATAATTCTAGTAAAAAAACATTTGGACAGTTAGTTTCTATTGTTTTTATATGGAACACCTACTTGCATCAATTATTAAGATGGATGCTTTATCCTTTTCGGACCACATATGTAAAAATGCGGTTCCGCCCCAATGAAATAATTTTCCGAGAGCGAGTAGGTGGCTTTTACCTCTTTATTGCTCCAAAATCATGTCCCCCCACAACCAAAAGATCAACATTGAGTTTCTTGGCAGCATCACATATCACAAATTTTGCTTCTCCCACCATCACTTTCGTTTCGTATGTAACCTGGGATATGTGATAAATTCAAGAACAGAAACTGTTTGAAAGCATTTCAAAAAATAATTTTGAGAGAAAGGCAAAATTATTGCACTGGGACCCTAGAAATGGGAATTTATCCGATATAGCTAAATAATCAGCAATAATGAAGGAAGAATATGAAGAGGTAAATCTTAAATAACTTACATTATATTTCTCACACATGGTCTTAGCGAGCTCGATTACTCTGTGAGCTGTTTGCTTCTTGTTCTTCTCCAAAACACTCAAGACATGGCTTGAAAATGAAACCTCTGGACCCAGACCCAAAATGAAAACTCGATTCATCTGTAAATCATGACGTATGCCTTGAAATTGATATCGAAAAAGAGAATACCTTTCCCAGTGATCATGGTGTTATGAAGAGATTCAGGTGCAACATACAAAAGGATCAAGTGATCAGAATCGGGCGATATGACGAGGTACTCTAGAGCCCATTCTAGGGCATATGTGCTCTCCTCCGAAGGTTCGAGTGCGACCATGATCTGTCTTCTTGCTCCCCCAGCCTCCATCTCTGTTCTTTATCACTAGCCTTCTACTCTCTCTCTCTCTTCAGGCCTTCTCCTGTCACTCTGATTCAAACTGTGTTCCATTGACAAGGTATATAAATAAGAGTCATTTAGCATGTCATTTTCAACTTCTTTCATGTAAGGTAAGACTTGAGAGTAATCCATGGGCTTCTTTTTGAGGGATAGATACCATGTTTTGGGGGCCACAAGGTTTTTGCAAGGCAAGGCTAAGAGAGAATGAAGTCTATTTTAGTGCAAGTGATAACCACCCAAATAATAATACTCGAGTATTGGGCACTAGAAGGAAATAAATAAAAGGCATAAATTATTTGGAAACCAATTTCTTATTGCTCCATGAATGGATTCCCTTTTATCCCTCCAATGACCAAAACCATGTGCAAGAGCATTGATTTAGAATGGCAATCTTAGTGCTGAAAGTGGGTAAGGGAATGGTCCCTCCCATTGGGCCTCATGGCTTTCCTAAAGATAATTGTCACCAGTTCATGCCCGCTCAAATTAAGGGAATTGATAGTGCATGTTCCATCACCTTTTTCTATTGGAAAAATATAATATGGTCCACTACAGAACTGTGTGCCTTATCATAGTCCAATCAATTAGATTGATGGTGATGAAGGGAAATGAGGGCCACGAACTTCGTGAATTGAAATTGTATGGTGGGACCCACTTACTCCCATATTCTCCAACGCAGGGACCATGATAACCTCTCGGTCATGAAGTTATTATGACTGGTGTTAAAAAACCGAACCAGTCTCATAAACTCGCTAATGGGCCGGTTCTAAGTAATTGGTAAACCGGCTTATTCAATTAGCTTAAATGGACAAGTCCTGACCTGTCCAAATAGTATTAAAATTTTAAAAAAATACAAAAAAATTTAAGAAAAGTCTAAAAAGAATATTTAAAATATGATTAATTAAAGCACATCCAAATGAGGTTGAAAATTAGTGGAAAACAAAATATCAATTTGTGTCTAAGGATAATTTTGAAATTTTTTTAAAATATGGAAAAAATATAAAAATAAATATTCATGACCAAAACACTTTCCAATATTTGCTAAAATGATAAAAACATTCAAAAATACATTATAAATAAATCCATTATTTTTTGAGATTTTATATAAATTTTTTTTAAAATACCTAGCTGGAACACCAAAACCGGCCCAAATCGGATTGGCCAGTGCCTGGTTCCGATTTGACCGACGGGTTCTGAGTTGAACAAGCCGAGCTTACGAACATTGATTACGACCATATGGATCATACTATAGGGGCTCCCTTTGGTTTTTTACAAAAATTTTTTTACAGTACATAACATCTAGGAGACGGACAAAACTTAAGAGGAAATGAAATTACGGTGAACTGGTAAACTACAATAAAAGAAAGGGTTTGGTTTGCATAAGGTTGCAACCTTAAACAATCTAATTAAGGCACACGTCTAAATCTTATCATAAATGTCATTTTGATATAAAAAAATTTTAGGATAGTTGGAGAATCTATTTTCATCTCTAATTATACTATTTTAAACTCTAAATATGGTTCAAATCAAGTCGATCTATAAACACATGAAAATCTTGAAAATGAACGGTCCAGATAATGTGTTGCAAGAAACACTATTTCGTGAACTCGAAATCTTTTTTCTTTTTATATTCATACGTCTCAATGTCAAGATGATTAATTAGAGGGTTTTCCAACATCCAAACAACTTTCTATGATGGACTTTTGAGGTGCGTGTTTAATTCTACATTGTAAGGTTGCAACCGTATATAAACTCTTTCCATAAAAGGTAGAATACTTGAAAATAAATTAAAGAAAAATTATCAGAATTTTCCCCCATAGTTACTTATATTTGAAATTTAATTTAATTTTTCGTTTAATCTATATTCGTTTCTAGTTTTTTCTTTTTTCGTAAAATATGTTTTTGCCCCCCGTAAATGTTTTATTAAAACTGTGGCGGTTGCCATGGACTTAAACATAGTCATGTCGCAAACCAGATCCAAAATCGAGTTTGTCCCAGTTTTTGGCGTCAAGGGAACTTCGTAGGGTGGAATTTTGGCGCCAAAATTCGCCACGGCTATGGTAGGTCCGTGGCACTCTTTCACCCTCGATATACAACAATTTTTAGTCGTATTTTCTCTTTCCCATATACACTTTCTCTCACGCACAGATCCGCCACCCCCACACATCTCATGTTTCCGTAAAAGCCTTGGAAAATATCAAAGTAATCGGACCACTTTACCTTCTTGACATTCACAAATTCATATTAATTATTTGTACAATACCCTTGAGATGCCAGTGAAAATTGCCCATTTCATCAATTTTTGCTCCATTTTGGTTCCCTTTGCTTAATGTTTTCGTGTGATTTTGATTCAAAATTCGTTATTGAGAGAATCGGTGTAAAATTTTCTCTTAATACTTAGGGCTTATTCTGATTGCGGAGGGTAGTATTCCATTTTTTTTACATACTTATTTGGCAGTACTTTTATTTTTTATAAATTATGCAATTCCTAAATCTATTCTTGGTCACTTGTCCATGGACTAAATGAGGTTATGCTGGTTTACCAGATAGCAATTATGAAGAAAGAAAATCATAGAATGCTATGTAATTTTATTTTTTTTGTTTTGTTGAACATTAACTTGGATTATTAGTATTTATAATATTATCAATATAATAAGAGAAACGACATTACGAAACTCTTCCATAACCATGTGAGTAGGACCTCAAAGGATCACCATTAAATTTGGCACAGATCTCTAGAAAAGTTATCACATGGGTGTGGGATTTGACTTTTCTAGAGATCTGTGGGGTCCTACTCATATGGGTGTGAGAGGGTCTCATAGGATCATTACTCATATAATAATAGAATATATTAGCATAATAAATCCATATAAATACTAATATTTAAATATTTATAATATTACAAATGCTAATGATAATAGTAGTAGTAATAGTAATATTAATAATAATTTTATTATTATTTTGTGGAAAAATACATCTCTAGGAGACATATATTTCACGTATTTTTGTTGAATACACATCTCCACATTTTTGCCTCAAAATGTGGATATAAATACCCAAGCAGAGATAGAAATTCCATCTCCAGATAGCATCTAAACTATGGAAATACTTGGCTTCTATGGATTTTAATCTCCCAAAGACCAATTTCCAGATGGAGAAGATACATTTGAGAAAGACATGCACATTTCCAAATGTCACCAGCCATGTTTAGTTGTCAAACTGGGTAAACCTTTGTTGGAGACACATTCTCAAAGATTCAAAGGGGCTTATCAATCATTGGACTTAAGAGTTATACATTATTTTGGTTCATAGATCTCTTGCATTCAATTAATCAATTTAAGCCACTGCATGTCATTTACATTATTTTAGTTCATAGATCTCTTGGCTTCAATTATTCATCGTCCTCAGGACACTTGGATCTCTCTCATATATTATCTATCAGGACAAATTTTAGGCGTTAGGTGTCTAGGGCATTAATTTCTGGATGGAGTGTGATGGATTACTTTTGCTCACTTTCGCCGCTTCACCTTCTCATTTGACTATTCAGTCTTGTGAACTTAGCTTTTCGTAAGAGTCTTTTTCTCTGGGCTCCATTCTTATCAAAGGGTAGGGGTTCAAATCTCTATTGACTTATCACTTTTTTGAGAAAGAGGTTAAGTTTGTGGTGGTAACACCTACGCTCTACTCACCACGTTGTGGTTTTCATTTTTACCTTTAATATCACTCCACTAATACTTTTTTTACCCCTAATATCACTCCACTAATACTTTCAAAAAGCCGACTCCTAATCTACTTGAAAGAAACGGGTAGGGGACTGTTTTTTCTATTGAAAATTACCAGAAAAAAAAAAAGAAAAAAAAGTGAGTAGACTGACAATGGGCAGGACCCGCAATACAAGCCCTAGCCTTATTTGAGCCATGGTCGAGTCAAATTAGCTGAATATAATTAAAAAAAAAAAAAAGGTTAAGATAAAAAAAGGGCTCTACTCAACTTTGCTCTATGATGCATAGGCACGGGACCGCACCTTGTAATTGTTTATGAATGCTTCTACTTTGGCGAGCTTTTTAAAAATCTGACACATATGGACGGCCGAAGGGGTGCAAAAGTTCCTTTTCGACAAGTAGGATTGAACAAGGGCATATCCCATCGCCAAAAAATAAGTTTGTCCAAAATTTCAAATATTATAATTTTGAAATATTAAAAACATAAACATAAAGCAAACTCATTTTTTGTGAGTCTTGCCATCAAAACCATTGAAAGGTGCTTGTCCCCGAAACAAGTAGCCCCGTCGTGACAACAAGATTCTCATATTTCTAGTTAAGTTCCTCAAAAATTATATTTCTTATATCTATGTGTTGTCATAATTTGATATTCACAATCATAAGGAAAATGATTAATATTAATGCATAAAATTTAATGATATTGAGATAATAGATGATGATAGTTTCTAAGTTCATTTTTTAAAGATTTTTGGAAATGAGATATTTGTCACCTTAAATGCCAAATAATAAATTCTCAACATTCTCATAGTGCATTCAAGTCTCGAGAGTTGTGCATTCAAGTCTCGAGAGCTAGAAAGCACCAATTTGCTCTATCAATTAAGGGTATGTTTAATAATCATGTAATATTAAGATATTTTAGTATATTACAAGACATGGATATTCTTTACCACAATATGGTTAAAGATGCATTCAATGGAACATAATTTAATATAATTGAATGGCATGATATTTGAATATCACCATCAGTATCTTCTAAACAATACGAGGGAATTGAATTTAAAAATATTTGAAAACATGCTAACTTACAACTCTCACATGTGCGATTTGTTTTCACACATGTAACAATATCTCACTTGAAGATAAATTACAAAATCTCTGAAATAATCATCGATGCACCACTCTCCACCCAAATGAGGTTACGTCTCATCCAACCCTGAAAGTCTTCTACACATCATATTCTTTTCAGTTGAGATAACCTTTGTCAACATATCAGCAAGGTTCTTTTCAATATGAATCTTGTCTACCTGTAAATCTCTACGCTCGACGGCCAATCAAATAAAATGATACCTAACCTCTATATGTTTTGTCTTTGAGTGATAGCACCCTGGTTATCACAGTGCACAACATATTTATCTTGTTTCACCCCAAATTGGCCAAGTAACATTCTTAACCAAATCATTTCCTTCGTTGCCTCGGTCAATGCCATATACTCAGCTTCAGTTGATGACAAGCCAACAATATCCTGCAACCTTGACATCCAGCTGACTGCACCA